CCCCAGCCCCCACCCCCACAAAAGTCTTTACTTAACTGTAAACAACCCAAATGTCTATTTGTAAAAAACTGGCTGAATAAATTCTAGCACATCAACACAACGAGTACTCTGAGCAGAATATTTTTATATATGACTATAATTAAGGATATACTTTACCTGAAAAACAGAGGTACAAAAGTGCATTCATGCTACTATGTATTTCAGAAAAGAGGCATATGTATATATAGTTTTTTTGCTTATATTTTAAGAAATAGAATGATTAAACTATAAAAAAATTAAAATAATTATCTGGAAATAGGATTCCCATGTGATCTGATCAGGAACAGAAATAAGGCCAGAGGAATAAGAACAAAGTAGACTTCTTCAAATGTATCTTCTATGGTATAGTTTTTGTATATTTGATTCATTATAAGGAAGTTCTGAAGCTATAAAAGAAAATGAAATAGATAACCTGTCTAAAGAGTTGGAGGCATTACCACAATGAGATGAATTAGTTCATGCGACTTTGAAAACGCCTTGTACCCGAATACATTTTGTAGAAAATATCCTGAGCTAAAATACAAAGGAATATTAAACCTTTTTAGTAATCTTATTGTTTATATTAACAGTAGTGTGTTTTCTAAAATTCTCATACATATTAGGATGAAGCAGAGATCTGCAGACCATAGCCAATATAGCCCAAAGCCAGCCCACTCCCTGATTTTGTAGATATAATTTTATTGGAACACAATCACGCTCATTTTTTCTGCACATTATGTATGTCTGTTTTCACAATACTACAGAACTGAGTAGTTGTAAGCGATCCTATGGCCTTCAAAGCTGAAAATATTAGCTAAGTTTTTACAGAAAAAAGTTTGCCTAAAATAATGGCTCTAGGCAATGACCATCAATGACCACTAGGATTATAAAAAGAGGAACAACCAGAAATGATGTGTTCCACGATGGAAGGAAATAATCCTGTTAGTAAATGCTGAAGGCTCCGGCTCTGAGTACGAGTATGGTAAAGACCGGGCACAGAGGACATGGTAAAATGCACATTGAGGGTAGAATCAGTCAAGTCCAGCATGTGAGAAACACCCTGAGCATTTCCCACTGCTATTGTAACTTGTTAACTTCCTTACTAAGCCCTTTAATCATGAATTTTGTCTGTGAGTTCTGTGTAGCCATTGTCTATGAGCCATTGCAATGGATATTAGAACCCAGCGAGGTAACACAGAGAACATTAATTAAGACATCACACACAGATACTCTATTTTTCACCTACCATATTGGTTCATACAGATCCACCTCATTGTTTTTGCTCTGTCCTGTGGAGGTACCCTACAATTCTTTCATGGGTGAGCATTTACATGGTTTGTAACATTTTGAAATCATAAGCAAGGGTGCAATATATATCTCTTTCCAGATGTATTTCTGGTATTTTCAATGTTGAGTCCTAGAGTGGGATGGTGCTAGGTCAAGGGATGGACACAGCTGCATATGTCAGATGTCACCAAGTTCCCCTCCACACTGTATGTGCCCATCTGCATTCCCAATAGCAACGTACAAGAAGGCCTGTTTCCCCACAGCCATGCCAACATGTCAACCTTTAAGCTTTTTTTGAATAATCAGGTAGTTGAAAATGGTGTTTCATTTGAAGGGGGAATGAATGAAGGGGGAGCAAATGAAGGGGGAGGAAGAGAGTGGAGCACATCATGGCACACCAAGCCTTGAGGACAATATCCTTGCTCAGAGCAGCTAAATGCACAGAGAGGACCACATGGCTGGCTCCACTATGAGACAGGACATCCCTCACTGACCCATAGTCCTACAGGGGACAACACTGGAGACATAGTGTGGGAATTGCGCCCAATCTGACCCCACTACACCGAGGCAAAACATTAAGGGCATGCAACAGAACAGCAAGGGGAGCCGAGCAAGGAAGTCCTGAGGGAATACTAAAAATAGACTTTGGGGCCAAGGAGTGGCACTCCATCAGACTCGTCTAGAAAACATTCTTAAAGGTCAACAAACAGACTTTAAACTATTTATAGGTTTTTCTTTTTTTGTCATTAGTTTTTTGTTGTTGTTTTGTTCTGTTTTCTTTTGTTGCTTTGTTTAGCTCTGTCTTGTTTTTGTGTATATTATTATCTCTGCAGGTCTATCCAGATAAAATAGGCTGGATAAACAATCTGGAGAAGAAAACCAGGAGACCGATGGTTCTGGGGGGACATGGGAGAAGGGGAGGTGGGGGAAAGGAAGTGGTGTTATCAAACCCAAGGACAAGGGAACAACAAGTGATCCAAAATCAGTGGTGAGGAGGGTGGAAGAAGCCTGGTAGGGCTTGATCAAGGGCAATGTAACCGAGAGGAATTACTGAAACCTAAATGAAGGCTGAGCATGATAGTGGGACAAGAGGAAAGCAAAAGGAAATAGAGGAAAGAACTAGGAGGCAAAGGGCATTTATAGAGGTCTAAATACAGGCATGCACATATGTAAATATATTTATATATGAGGATGG